TAATTCATTGCATTGGCCACACAGAACTTACAGACCACACTCAAGATTATGGGGTTTATTAGGGAAGTAACAGGTTACAGTTCAGGCTCAGGAACACTCAGGATACAGTTCTTCTTAAAGGACAGGCTCTCCCCAGCTGTGCTCGCAGACATACCTCTCCCTGGCCCTCGGCCTCTGTCCAAAGGTACTCAGCTTTCTCTCTCTGTGGGCCCAGCAGCCCACCATGCCGTCTCTTGCTGCTGGGTTTCTCCTGCCACTGCTTGTTAGCATCTTCAGGGTTACAGCTGGTTCTCTCTGTCTCGGTCTCCTGCTTCCAGGAGCTTCTCAGCGCAGGGATCCCGGGTCCAAAGGATGCACTACCTCCTGGCTGTTCTTCCTTGGTGGTGGTAGGATCCTCCTCTCTGCTCTGGAGTTGGCTGTCTTTTAAGACAAAACTGACCAATCCCCTTGGTGAGCCACAATTACCCTATCACACAGTCCCGCTTAGTCACCTGAGTGGGAGTTAGAGGACCATGGCTAGAGAGGTTACACAAAAGTAATCAATTGCACCGCAGATGTATATTGAAAAATGTATTTTGGATCTTTTTCTACATGGTCCTCAACAGTTTGAGGATCAAAGAATTTCATTCTCTATATAGCCTTTCCCCATACGTGATCTGATACTGTCTTTGTGAGATGGATTTAGTGGGATTTCCTCTGGTGGTGGCCAGAGGGTGCCTCGTGAGCTAAGCCTCCTCAGAGTGGATGCTTTCAGGGCTGTGTGGCCTTCATCCTGTGGTGACTTTTTCTGGTTACTAAGAGAGGCGGTGCAGCCTGGCTTTCAGGCTTGTGCTTGACCATGAATGAGGGAAGTTCCCCTCCTGCTCCTCCCCCACACAGAGTGAGCTTGAGCAGATTGTGGAAATGCTAAAATTCAGAGTGAGTCAGAGTGACTCTAATGCCAACCAGGCTTTGTCATCATCCTTATTTCTTTGATTTTCGTGTTTGAATCAAAATTCCATCTGAAGCACAGCTGGGAGGAAGCAGGTGAAAAGGATGATGGGTAGGTGGAGATGTTTTCAAGCTGGAGGCTTTCCTTACACCCAGAGAAGGAGTGTTTTAGACATTTTTCACCCTTTAAGTGGTTGTCACGGGCCTTTGCTTATGTGTGTCACATAAATCATACAGTATTAACTCCTTAGAATGAATTGCTGGCAGCTCCTGGGTAGTGCCTGGCATTTTAAACCATGATTGCATTGTCCTGAACTGCCAGTGGATTTTAAAGCTATGAATTGCCTTTCTCTTACAGCAAAGTGTAGGCATTAAGAGCTTGGTCCTTGGAGGGAGTCCGACTGGATTCAAGTACTGGCTTCTCCATTTACAAGCCATGTGACTTTGTTTTTTAACTTCTCTCCAGACCTTAGTTCTTCATCTGTGTGGTAGTGGCAACAATACCCCTTTCCTTATAGAGGTTATTGTGAGGATTACAGGAGATAAAGGACAAGAAGTGCCTGCCCTGGTGCCTGGCACATGGTAATCGCTCAGTAAATGGAGCTACCAGTGCTAGTGTTTGTATCGTTGTCATGGGTACAAGAACATCCAGGGACATTAGCTGGGAAAGAAGAGGACAGTCTGTCTTCTTGTTGGCCTGCTTTGTGACTCCTTTGACTTAAAGAGCAAAGGTAAAAAATCTAGAGAAGGGACAACACCTCTTCTAAGTGGTATGTGCTTGCTATTTTGATGTTGGTTCAGACAGAGTATTGACTTTAAACGTTTTTAAACATTCAGAAAGGCTGTGGTGCTTCTTGCCTTAGTGGGCACTTGTTCCATTTTTGTCAGTAAGAAGTACTTGCCAAAATCAAGAGATGGTTGTTTTCTTGAGAGTGAGTGGGACAAAGAAGAATCCCACAACAGAAGAGGTCAGTCTCATAGGAGATCCTAAAACAGCTGTACATGATATCCCTGCCCCCTGCCCCATCCCCATCCCCATGTCTCACCTTCCCAACTCCCTGGAAGGTTTTTCACAGTCCTTATACCCGGACTTGATTGCATAAGTCTTGGCGGCAGCTTGGACATCTATACTTAAATAAAACTGTCCGGGTAATTCTGGTGCTCACCCTGGTTAAGAACCATTGCTATAAAGAAATTCTAATCCACTACTCACTACCACCACCACCCCCCGCCCCCACAGAGTTATTCTCCATATGAGGAGACAGATGCCCGGGGAGGGAAGTGGCAGGCCAGGGCCAGGCACACTGAGTTATGATAGTGCATGAACCAGAATTCAGGTCTCCTGGCTCTTGTCCAGTGCATTCAGTGCATTTTTCCCTCACCATGTTCATTCTTTTACCATATTTGCTGTTCCTTGTGGCAGGGTCAAAAAATAGCCAGCCCAGACTTGGTGAGCCTTCATTTCCCTGGGAACCCTGCTCCCCATTGTCCAGTGAGCAGCGAGCTGCCAACATTCTTAACTCCAGGGAGATCTTTTTTGGAAGAAAAGCAAAGGGAAGCTTGGGATTCCAGGGTTCAACACGCTGCGTCACTGATCATTACATAATGCTGGTGAAGTTTCTCACTTCCCAGAGCTGGTTCACCTCCTGCTCAGCATCCTGACTCATCATATGCATATGGCAGCACTGCTTCCAGGAGAGCCCAGGGCTCTCTGGCAGTCCCCAGGCCACCATTTGTTCCAGTTTTACTTACTAGAGTCTGGATTCCTGCCAGTTGTGACAGCCACTGTGACATGGTACATGCCACATTTGGTATTAGGCTATTTATTCATTACTAATGCTATAATATCAAACATTCATGAAATGCTTCCTGTGTGCTTTCCATGTACTATCCCCTTAATTCCCCTGACAACCCTAAAGGTAAGTATTGTTATTCCTATCTTACAGCTGAGGAAACTGAGGCTCAGAGAGGTTAGGTGACTTATCTGAGATCACACAGCTGGTAAGCAGCGGAGTTGGAATTTGAACCTGAGATGTTCAAATGTGCAGGGCCTGCACTCTTAACCATTCTGCTGTCCTTTTCTTACTGCAATAAGTAAACCAGCTCCCTGTCTTCACTGCCTCAGCTGTGACTAGAACACCAGTGTAGGGCTCTGGAGCCTGATTCCTGCAAGGATAAGTCCTGTAAACAAATGACTTACATGTGTCTGGAAATGATGTCTGTCATGACTGGTATGTTTTGGAAAAAAACTTCAGCTCTGCTTGATTGTGGCTGCATTTCTTAGCAAGCAGCAAAACTGCTGGTCCACAAGGTCAGAACACATGCCCTGGCCTGATGTCTCTGTGTCTGCAGTGGTCTTTCTTTATTAATGCTTGGATGTGGAGTGGACAGGCTTTTATAGAGCAGTTCACAGCCTGCCTCACTTCAGAGAGTGTCTTAGAAGTCAGCCTGGGAGATTATGACAGTGGTGTGTGATACTGAGGTGATGCCACACATAGCTCCTCCCGCTCCCTTGCTCACACTCCTTCCACGTATTCTGTTACCCCGTTAGGACTTGCATTGCCTTAACCCCTCTACTTTCTCTAAGTTAACTCTTCCCATTTCTGTTATACTTCACCTTAAGAATTCTTTTTGTTTTCCTCAACTTTATTACCTTGTCCTTCCATCTCATCCAGCAAAACACCAAAGCGGGAACAATCTGTTGTTCACTGTCCTTCGTCCACCCTTTGATTGCTCTACACTGATAAAGAAAAATCTTACCACCTTTTAGAGGGGCTGTGTTCGTTTCCTAGGGCTGCCATAACAAACTGCCACAAACTGAGTGGCTTAACGCAACAGAAATTTATCCTCTCACAATTCTGGTGGCTAGAAGCCCGAAATCAGCAGAGCAGTGCACCCTCTGAAGGCCCTGAGGGAGAATCCTTCCTTGCCTCTTCCAGCTTCTGGTGGTTGCTGGCAATCCATAGCATTCCTTGTATTGTAACTGCGTCACTCCAATGCCCCCCTCCATCTTCACATGGCGGTCTTCCTTCTGTGTGTGTCTGTGTGTTTCCAGATCTTAATCTCCTTATAAGGACAGGAGTCACTGAATTTAGGGCCCAACCTAATCTAGTATACCTCATCTTAACTTGATTACATCTGTGTCTTAGTTATCTAGTGCTGCTATAGCAGAATACCACAAATGGATTGCTTTAACAAACAGATTTGTTTTCTCACAGTCCAGGAGGCTAAATGTCCGAATTCAGGGTGCCAGCTCTAGGGGAAGGCTTTCTCTCTCTCAGCTCTAGGGGCACTGACTCTCTGGGCAGGGAGTGGGGGGTGGGGAGTTCTGATGTATAGTGTTTGAGGATTACTGTGATTTTCCTATGTGTTGTAAATCCTGTGTCTATGATGTTGATGAGGTGGGATTAGAGGCACTTACATTAATGAGTCAGGACTCAATCTACAAGATTAGGTTTTTGAGATATAAAAGAGAAAAGCAAACAGAGAGATGGGAGTGCCAGGAGGGCCTTATACACCAAGAAACAAGAGCCAGGAGAATAGCGTATCCTTTGGACCCGTGGTCCCTGCACTGAGAAGCTCCTGGACCAGGGAAGATTGATGACAAGGACCTTCCCTCAGAGCCAACAGCTCCCCTGGAGCTGGCACTCTGAATTCGGACTTCTAGCCTCCTAACCTGTGAGAGAATAAATTTCTCTTTGTTAAAGCCATCCACTTGTGGTATTGTTGTTATAGCAGCACTAGATAACTAAGACATCCCCCCATAGCCGATTTCAAGCTGCTGAACCGGAGTTGGTAGATGTGCCAATTTGCCGGTGCGAGCTGGCTTCAGCACGCCATTAGAGCTGAAACCTCAGCCTGCTGCTCCAAGAACTCTCTTACTTCCTGGTGATTGGGGGAGATCCTGCCAAGTGATTGCATTTCCAGAAATATAGACATGACCCTGGCTGGTAGCCAGTGTTTATCTGCGTTAGACTTGGCCTCTTGACCGGGAGGGTGCCTGAATGTGATTTGCTTTTAAAAATGAGAAAAGAAACTAATGAGCCTTTCATTTTGTTTCTTCTCCCTAGCTGCTATTAATTTAGCAAAGCTGAAACTTTTCAGACATTATTACGTCTTGGTGAGTAAGAAATCCTCAGTGTGTACATAAGATCAATTCAAGGAATAGAAGCAAAAGAACTTCTGAAGAATTAGTAAAAGCATAAGGTGTTGTGCAACCTGGAGATATGTGGATTTAATTTTATAAAACCTAATTGGCTCTTTTAAGATGAGAAATTAAATTAATGAAATATAAATAAAAATTAACTATAACTTCTTGTTATAATTTAGTTTTAAATATTTAGAAAAGTAATACATGCTTAATGTAAAAAAAAAAATCACTGATTTTAGAAACGCAGCAAAAGCCCTTTATTATCCTGATCTTCTACCCTATCCCCTTCTTATCCTCTCCCAGGGTAATTACTGTTAACAGTTTAGTGGTTATTCCTGTAGTTTTTTTTCCTAGGCATATGCCATACTAACATTTGCTATTTTTATTCATTTACAAAAACAGGATCATACCACAATGATGCTCTCTGCAGCTTTGTTTTTTCCATTTAAAATCATTAGAGTGTAACATATACCTCTCTTTTCAAATTTCCTTCCAAGAAACCAGGTTCACGTTATGGCCAAAATAATATTTCCCTTAAGAACAGAAAAATCATGGCAGTTTTTATAAAACCTAAAAACTTTGGTGGGCATGAGAAGTCCTAGAAGAATAGCACAAAAGACAGGACTTGCTGTAATTTATTAGGATCATGATTTCTTGGAATATATAAAGTAGGAGTCTTCTAGATGATACAGTTGAGTTTAATTTTTTGCTGTGGGTTTGTATTATGTACCAGAACAGTTACAGGGGTCGCCATAGAGCCTCTCTTGGTAAGTGCAGTGTCTGACGAGTGGTCCTCCGTGGCCAAGCCAGGGCACTGAAACTCTAGCATGCCTGACCTGGCCTGTGAGCCTGGGCATCCTAGGTTTTGGTCCCAGTGACCAGAGCATACTTGTGTGTTTGGCATGTTGAATCCTTGTCACATGAGGAGAAATGAAGGTGTCCTCCCTTGCTAGACCACTTAGTATTATTTCTACTTCCTCTGAGTGTGTATCTTGAACATTTACAGGATCTGCTGGTGAAGTGACTGAAAGTGTTTTCCCTGTGTAGCTGTATTTTGCTATTATTATTGGAAAATATTCCTCAAAGCCTGGGAATAAAAAATATTACCCTTTGGGGATTGAAATTAATGAGTTTTGTATGTGGAGAGGGTGAGGAACGATCATTTCATAGTGTTTTGCCCTCTCCATGGGTGTCGCTATTATCAACATCCTGGTCACCTAGAGATGGAGTATCCCTTCAAGTGTAACTAGTAGAGTAGCCGTCTCTCTCTGCCACATTTATTAATTAGCACTATCAGTGTCAAATGATTTCCTTCAGGTAATTCTGTTTTCTCTTTTATAGTTAATTTGTGAAAGCAAATTCTTGGAAGAAATTGGTGCTATAATTTCTGTGTTGGTTTTATTTCTTGTTTCTTTCATCTTCATCTAGATTGTATGTTACATATACTTCACAAGGATCATTGCATTTCTCCTCAAACTTGCTGTTCCGTTCCAGTGGAAGTGGCTCTACCAGGTATGCTGCATGCGGGGGATAGCGGCAAAGAATTTAGTCTGAAGGTAGAGTCTTGGAATGGAGGAATAGTCACAGGTGTAACTCAAGGTTGTTATTAATTTATCTGCGAGTGACCACTAAGAACTTCAGTCTCATCTGGTCTACAATTTAGATAATCTGTTTGTCCAGGAAAGCTGCTGGATTACATGAGAAATCTGGAAGTATTGTGTTATTGATTTTAGTTTTCAATTGTAAAAGTCTTTGAGGAGAAAAGCCTCAGGCAGAGAGCAAGATTTGTCCTGTATAATTAAAACCTAGATGAGATGTGGTCTTTTCTTTCAGCTGTGGGGCTCAGAATAGCTTAGAATCCAGACCTCCCTTCTTGGCTCATTATTATTATTTCAATAATAAAGTACCTTTGCAATATACTAGAACTAGTTTAACTACTAGAGTAATCCTCCAAATGAAAAAGACTTATTTTTTCTTGGAGAACTCACTTTGTTATTTAGGCTCTGTAGGAATGTATGGGATATAATGAGCTCTTAAAAAATACCAGTGAAGACTGATTAGAGCTAGGCCTCTTAAATGGTATCTCTGGGCAAAATGCTACTAGCTGAGGCTTCAGAAAATCTTCTAAGGAAAATGCTTTCTGTCAGTAAACTCTGGCATTTCGGTATATCAGCCAGTGGTGGATTGGAGAGAAGATATGCCAGTTTGTTTAGTTCCACTGCTATCTGAAGAACAGTGTTACTAATCTCTTTATTTTGGGGTGGTTTTTAAATTTACAGCTCCTGGATGAAATGGCCACGCTGGTATTCTTTGTTTTAACTGGGTATAAATTCCGTCCAGCTTCAGATAATCCCTACCTACAACTTTCTCAGGAAGAAGATGATTTGGAAATGGAATCTGTGTAAGAAGTCTCCCCTTTCTCCCCCCTCTTCTTTACCCTGACCCTTTTACCTAACTAACAGCACAGTGTGAATTGGACCAGCTGCTCTCAGCATTTTGTTGCTCCAGAGGTGGCTCCTCTATTTTTAGCAGAAGGAAATGGACACTCAGGCCCCAGGCTCTCTTATTTAGTTTGACGTACAGCATCTGCCAAGCATTGTTCAGTCTTTTCAGGGAAAATAGAATTTGCCATCCTATTAAGCATTGTTGGAGCCTGCTTCCAATAACTCAGTGGTAAGAACTTGGGAATACACTTGACCTATTCAAAACTACCGAGAACAGGCAACCCTACTTCCTGTTGGGCCCCTGCCATTGGGAGCTTATGTCTGAAAATGGAATCATCCCAGTCATCTGTAAGTGCTAATTATCCTCAAATGTCATTATCGTAGAATAACTAAGTGGATCTTCATAGGTAGCACATTGACTTTGACCTGTATCTGAACATTTAACGTGGGCTTTTCTGATTCACAAAGTAAGTGACTCTAGAGTCCTGTTTTCTGAGACAAGGCAGTCATTTCCTAGGAAGGTGCATAGTGAATAAGCGTATGTGCTTGTTAACTCATGAAATATGATCAGCAGGGTTAATTGTTGGGTTTGATGATTAGCCTGAGACTGAGTTTTTCCTTTCTTGTTTTCACTTGGTATCAAGTGTACTGCCTTCACTTCACCAAAGAAGACATTCAGGTGGGTAACAGATACATGTGGAAATGTTCACGATCAGTAGCCATTAGAGAAATGCAAATCAGAACTACAGTGAGATACCATTTCACCTCAACAATGCTAGCATTAATCCAAAAAACACAAAATAAATGTTGGAGAGGTTGTGGAGAGACTGGAACACTTACACACTGCTGGTAGGGATGTAAAATGGTACAGCCATTTTGAAAGTCAATTTGGCGCTTCCTTAAAAAACTAGAAATAGAAGTACCATACAATCCAGTAGTCCCACTCCTTGGAATATATCCTAGAGAACTAAGAGCCGTCACACGAATAGCTATATGCAAACCCATGTTCTCTGCAGCACTGTTCACGATAACAAGATGGAAACAACCTAGGTGCCCATCAACAGACGAATGGATAAACAAGTTATGGTATATCCACACAATGGAATACTGCGCAATGATAAAGAACAGCGATGAATCTGCAAAACATCTCATAACATGGATGAATCTGGAAGGCATTATGCTGAGTGAAATTAGTTGCAAAAGGACAAATATTTTATGAGACCACTGTTATAAGAATTCAAGAAAAGGTTTAAATACAGAAGAAGACATTCTTTGATGGTTAGGAGGGGAGGGAGGGAGGGAGAGGGAAATTCACTAACTAGATATTAGACAAGAATTATCTTAGTTGAAGGGAAGGACAACACACAATACAGGGGAAGTCAGTACAACTGGACTAAACCAAAAGCTAAGAAGTTTCCTGAACACAGCCAAACACTTCAAGGTACAGAATAGCAGGCGTGGGGGTCTGGGAACCACGGTTTCAGGGGACATCTAGGTCAGTTGGCATAATAAAGTTCATTAGGAAAATGTTCTACAGCCCACTTTGGTGAGTAACATCTGGAGTCTTAAAAGCTAGCGAGTGGCCATCTAAGATGCATCATTTGGTCCCAACCCACCTGGAGCAAAGGAGCATGAAGAACACCAAAGACACAGGGAAAATATTAGCCCAAGAGACAAAAAGGGCCACATAAAGCAGAGACTCCATCAGCCTGAGACCAGAAGAGCTAGATGGTGCCCAGCTATCACCAGTGACCGCCCTGACAGGGAACACAACAGAGATTCCTTGACAGCAGGAGAAAAGTGGGGTGCAGAGCTCAAATTCTAGTAAAAAGACCAGACTTCATGGTCTGACTAAGACTGGAGGAACCCCAGAAGAAACGGCCCCCAGACTGTCTGTTAACCCAGAACTAAAACCATTTTCGAAACCAACTCCTCAAACAAGAAGTAGACTGGACTATAAGACATAAAATGATACTTGTGAAGGGTGTGCTTCTTAGTTCAAGTAGATAGACGAGACTAAATGGGCAGCTCCTGTCTGGAGGTGGGATGGGAAGGTAGAAAGGGATAGGAGCTGGTTGAATGGACGCGGGAAATCCGGGATGGAAAGGAGAAGTGTGCTGTCACATTATAAGGATAGCAGCTAGGGTCACATAACTAATGTGTGTATAAATTTTTATATGAGAAACTTAGTTGAGCTGTAAACTTTCACTTAAAGCACAATTAAAAAAAAAAAAAGTATGCTGTCTTCAGCACAGGCAGCCTTTTGACTTCCGGTAGTTCAGAGGCTGACTCAGCCCATGCTGGGCTCCACTTAGCTGTTAGACAGGGCAGGCGGCATGGGACAGCTCTTTATGCTCAGCTCCACTACTGGGACAGTAGACGGAAGGCAGGTGCTACTGATGGGCCCAAAACAGCAACTCCTTGTGCAAAGGAAGAAATACCTTTTTTTAGATAGTGGAGGTGAAGGCAGGAGAATCCTCAGATGTGCCTTACGTAGAATTAGCAGAATCTGAGCAAGTGACTATTGGATAAAGAGACACAAGTGAGAGTCAATCTAATAAGCAGCAGCATCTCCAAATGGGGCGATTGGAGACTAATAGAATACGCTAAAATATAATGTATTTAGCCATCCCCTACTGAGGACCTTTAGCTTGTTGCATAAACGTTTATTGCAAAGTGTCTCTGGGGTCAGCAGCTAGACACAGAATGACTGGGTCATAGTTCGGGAGCATCTTCCACTTTACTGAACTGAACTCTGAAATGGCTGGATCAGGTGACGTTCCTGCCAGCAGTGTAGGAGTTCCTGTTTCACCACATCCTTTCCATCTGCTGTTCTATCTTGAAACATGGATACATAGTGGAGGTGTTTCTGTGTCATGTTTTGTTTTCTGTGTTTGTTTTGTTGTTTCTCTCGGACAATATTTGATGATAGTGGTAACCATTTTAGCAAGAGGTTCTTTGTGTTAAAATCAGGAAATGAAGGATTCAGGGAGTAGACGAGAACAGACTGCTAGACTAGTAGGGCCTGGAGGGGAGTGTGTTCTTTATTCTGGTAAGATTTGGGAAAGGTTGGTTAAGTGAGGAATTTTGGAATGTTGGATCAAGGATTATCTTCTGGTTGCCTCATTTTACACACCTGTTACAAGGGTAGAGTACTCTGATTATGCTAAGTATTTGTCAGTAGCTTAGTGAAGTGAGCTTCTCTTCAGTGGCAGAAAGGTTGCATGGGTGACAGCTACAGAGAGAGGGTCTAATATTTTAGCTCTCAACCAAATGAGAGTTCTACTCAGGGGATTGTTTTTTTTTTTTTTTTAATTTTGTTGATCTTTTCAAAGAACCATCTTTTGGTCTTGTTAACTCTTTCAATTGTTTTTCTATTCCCTATTTCATTTAATTCTGCTCTAATTCTTACTATTTCCTTTCTTCTGGCGCCTGAGGGCTTCTTTTGCTGCTGTCTTTCTGCTTGTTCCAGTTGTAAGGTTAATGTTTTGATTATGACCCTTTCTTCTTTTTGGATATGTGCATTTATTGCTATAAATTGACCTCTGAGCACTACTTTTGCTGTGTCCCAAAGGTTCTGGTAGGATGTGTTTTCATTCTCGTTTGATTTGATGAATTTCTTTATTCCATCCTTAATTTCTTTTATAACCCAGTAGTTTTTGAGCAAGGTGTTGTTCAGTTTCCATGTGTTTGA